TATTAATTTAAAAATAGTATTTCAAATGTTTATTGTTGCGGTTGGTGCAATATGCAGGATAAACACAATCCAAATATCTAGTAACAGATGAATGAATAAAGAAGTTGTGATATAGAGAGACAATGGAATACTATGTAGCTGTAAGAAAAGATGAAATTGTACATTTCACAGCAATGAAAATAAGTCAAGGAGAGAAGAACAAATACCAGATTATCTCACTAATCTATGGAATATAGAATGACAGAGTAAGAAAAGAATATTAAATAATGATAAGTCCTTAGACTGTAAAGTTTATCAATAAACTAGGGTAAAGATCAGACCAGAGGTGACATAAGTGGTGGACAGTCATGGGTGGGCGGTGGGGTACAGTGACTTTGAAATAATATTAAGATTATAGTTCAACATTAAAATGTATTTAATTTTCTAAATAACATGCAAAACAGAATCTGCTTCTGATTTTCAGTAAATTGAATTATAGTTTAACACATGCAAGAACTATCATAAGACATTATATGTGAAATATTTTCTTATAGAATCTCCTGCCTCTGTGCCTAGCTGTCCTCACCGGGCCTCTTGGAGGAGGTTGACTTTCCCTCCCTGCCCCAAGCAGAGCTCCAACAGCTGAAGACCTCCAGAACTAGACACAACCTTGTTTAAGACCACTCCATACTCTCCGAAAAGCCTCATGCATGAAGGAACCGGCAGAGGACCCCAGGTGTGCGGGACCCTGGAGCTGAGATCTCCAAGCCTACTCGGATCGGGACTGGGCCTCCTCCACCCAGATCCTCCATCTTTCAGTAAGCGTTACACCCACCAACTGCCTCCAGCGCCGTGTAATCCCATCAACAACCAAGATCCAGAGACTATAAAACCAAGGTCCCGGAAGTGCGCAGCCTCTTATTGTCTAGTTCTCACTCTCCGAGAATGAACCCGGCAGGCTACAGAGAGTATCCTACCCGCACAGCAGAGTCTGACAAGCTCCCCGTGGTGTATTTGATATGCCAAAACCCAATAACAATGATGGGTCTCATTCTCCTGACCCTGAAAGAGCCTACAATGTGGGACTTGCTAAAACCTCAGGGCTAGGACAAATGGAGATGTTACTGATACCTTCTCAAGAAAATCAATGAACAATGGGATGACAGTGATACAATGATGCAGTGACTTTTGTACACTTAAAAATCACCTAATTAGGGGCTGGAGCGATAGTACAGCAGGTAGAGCGTTTGCCTTGCAAGCAGCCAACACAGGTTCGATTCCCAGCATCCCATATGGTCCCCTGAGCACTTCCAGGAGTAATTCCTGAGTGCAGAGCCACGAGTAACCACTGTGCCTTTCCAGGTATGATCCAAAAAGAAAAAAAATCCCCTAATTAGTAAATTTTTCTATTTTGTTATGAATAGATCTGCCAAGATTCAGTCTCTCTGTAAGTTTTTTGAACTATTAGAGTTGCTAGAAGGTTTTACTTAACTGCTCTATTAAAAAGAGAGCGTCTGTGTTATTGGAGAGATAATTCAAGCAGCAGAGCATGTTAGGTCCTGAGTTTGATTCCAGGCACCTCTTAACCCCTGAACACTATTGGGTAGAGCCTTGCTGTGCCCAGCACTACACTGTCCAGGACATGCCCAGGGGCCCCCAAGAACTGCTGGATATGGCTACTTAGTTAATAATGAATTCACTGTCACCATGTATTCCAAAATTCAGTTTCTTTTTCATTTTAGTAGAAATACCATCACAATCTGAACAAAATAACATGGCTTTTGATATAAAATGAGTGAAATTCTGATCCAGGAAATGCAATTTAACAGCTATTTGTCCTGAGAGAACTTCTTCGTTCTTGTTTCCCTCTATAAATTGGGGATAATAATATCTTTTGTTAATCACTTCCTGAAACTTTTAAGAGTGAAATTTTATGATCTTAGAGGCTATGCAGGTACATACTTGTGCTACACTTGCTTCACTGCTAATTACCTTCTGTCCATATCAGCACTTGTTGCTCCAATGGAGGCTAACCGATTCTGTGGCTGTGCTGAGTGGGAGGGCTACAAGCACATATAGAGGTTGGAAGGTAAGAGCGAGCCCTCAGCAATAAAGACTTCATTGTCAGACAGAAGCAAGTGAAAACAATAATACTAACAGCTGCTAAAGGTACTGCAGAAGGTTAATAGGATGCAGAAGGAACGCACCTGAACTAAATTTATCCCTACCTTGTATTCCCACGATGACTATTTTCATTAGGAAGGACAATCAGGTAGCTCTTAACCGGGGACCTGCTTCATAGTAAGAGTAAACAATGGCAGAAATTCCAGTGTCTGTCCTTCACGCCACTAAAGAGACACTTTAAAATGTTTTATTTTGATTCCCTTAACATGCCACACCATCAGCCCATTTAAGTGCCCAATCCAATAACAGAGCTATCAGGAGATTGAGTTGTACATTTATTGCCACAATTTTGGAACATTTTCATTACTTCTAAAATTAAACCCCATTTCCTTTGGGTGGGCTGGAGCGATAGCATAGCGGTAGGGCGTTTGCCTTGCACGCAGCCAACATGGCCGACCCGAGTTCGATTCCTCCGCCCCTCTCGGAGAGCCCGGCAAGCTACCGAGACTATCTCGCCCGTACAGCAGAGCCCGACAAGCTCCCCGTGACATATTCCATATGCCAGACACAGTAACAACAGTCTCCGATGAAGACGTTACTGGGCCCGCTCAAGCAAATCGATGATCAACGGGAGGGCCTTTACTTTACTTTACTTTTCCTTTGGGTATTTTCCTAGTATCCTCATCCTCAGTCCTGGGCAACTCTATTATCCGTTTTCTATTCTGCCTCCTACATTTACTGATTATGTAAATGGAAGTGTGCAATAGTATAGCTTTGAGTCTGTCTTTTATTTCCATTAAGCATGAAGTTGTAACATGTTCAGTTCTCCACTTTTCGTAGCTGAATTTATTCTACATCCCCCCACCCCAAATATTCCATCCCACTACTTCTTGAACTTCTACCTGGATTTACCAGTCCAAACGTCTGAATAATTAAGAAGAAAAGAATCTTTGGGTTTATTAGTTCAACCACCCCTTAATAGTTAAGAAAAGAAAGTCTATATTGTTAGATTGTTTGAGTATATAATATTATAATTTCTTCCTTATGCCAGAGTACATGAGCCAGACTCTGCCCTCTGATTGCCCAAGGCAGATTTCTTTAATCTCTAAAATGTGAGCATCTCACTTTCAGATAGCACAAGTGTATAAAGTATTTCCACATAAATACACTTAGAACCCACACACACAACTTGCCTTTGTCAACAGGTAAGACGAAGACAGGTTCTTAATTCATAAAGTAAAATTACTAGCTAAGAGTATCCAAAGACAACAATAACAAAAAAAAGACCTCTGGAAGTGGCTCCCTAAATAGGCTTCAGCAATGATGAATATAAAATATCTGCTCAATCTCATTGACGGCTTTCCAAATTCCAAATAGTGCGACTTTCTGTTCTTACAATCCATAAATCATAATCACTGTCACTGTCCTCCTGTTGTTCATTGATTTGTTCGAGCAGGCACCAGTAACGTCTCACAACAAATTGTTAGACTTGTTGTTACTGTTTTTGGCATATCGAATACTCACAGGTAGGATGCCAGGCTTTGCCATGAGGGCAAGATACTCTCAGTAGCTTGCTGGGTTCTCTGAGAGGGACAGAGTAATCGAACCTGGGTCGGCTGCATGCAAGGCAAATGCCCTACTCACTGTGCTATCGCTCCAGCCCATTCGTCGTGATTGCCTCTAGCAGGCCCCAGTAACGTCTCCTTCATCCTAGCCCTGAGATTATATTCAAGGCTCTTTAGGAGAATGAGACCCATCATTGTTACTGGTATTTGGCATATTGGGTGTGCCACGGGGAGTTTGCCAGACTCTGCCATGTGGGCAGGCTACATGTGGTAGCCTGCCAATTTGTCAAAGTAGAAATGAGATGTCATAATAAGATGTCGCGCGGCCGCGCGGTTCCGGGAGCTGGTTTTTGTAGTCTCTGAGTCTTGGCCGCTGATGGGATTACACGGCACCAGGGGGCCAGTTGGTGGGTGTGACCCCCGCCTACTGGAATTTGGAGGATCTGGGTGGAGGATGCTCGACTCCAATCCGAGTAGGCTTGGAGATCTCGGCCCCGGAACCCACGTGGCTTTGTCCCTCTGCCGGTACAGCCCATAAATCATAATAAATCTATTAAACAGCAACAGCTGAAAAAACCTACCACAAACTTGAGGGCAATGAAGAAGCATTTCTGGGCATAAGAAATGTATCTGCTGAGAAGCTATGCATACCACATGCTACACCAAAGCATGTCTTCTCTTTTCCACCCCCTAATGTTGTAAATTTTCTGGAGTCTTTTATGTCAAATAACCAAGGACAGATATTGCATACAATTTGAGCGATAGCACAGCGGGTAGGGCATTTGCCTTGCACGCAGCCAACATGGCCGACCCGAGTTCGATTCCTCCACCCCTCTCGGAGAGCCCGGCAAGCTACTGAGAGTATTCGATATGCAGACACAGTAACAACAAAGTCTCCAATGGAGACGTTACTGGGCCCGCTTGAGCAAATCGATGATCAACGGGAGGGCCTTTACTTACTTACTTTACTTGAAAATCAGTATGGATGTCACATAAACTGCAGAAGTCAAGTATTATTGGTCCTGCTATTTAATCTAACATCAACAACTTCGGTCTGAGTAATGGCAAAGTCCTTTCAAGCCCAAAGGTTAAAATCTTATTCCCTTTCTTAAACTCCTTTTCATCTTTTCCTTACTGCAGGTATCTCCATGACTTATTATGCCATTATTGAACTACTCTCTGACCTCATTAACATTCTATCTCCCTGAAAAATAAAAAAGTATTTAAAAAGTTCGAAGAGACCTGCCTGGTTATTATCTCTGCCAGCCTGGATTTAAAGTGTGACTATATTTTCCAAACACATCCACCCTGAAATAGCTCATGCGTACATACCTCAGTCACTTCTCTAAGTGTTCTGGGTTCTAATGTTAGAGATCCACTCGGTCTGTTTTCTTTTTCACACTTCATTATTTCTCATGCAGGAAATGGGCCAAAGCAATAACTGTATTTGAAAAACAGCAACCAACAAAAAGCCATAAAATTCTAGAACACTATCAGAATATACAATAGGATATAGCAATAGAGAAAAGTTCCTACTTTATTTCAGTGTTCTGATATGTATGAAATTGAATTTTGTAAAGAGAAAATTGGAAACTTATTATGCTATTTACAAAGTGTTTGGGAACTAATTGTGAACTTGAAAATTAAATTACTGCATTTGCTAATAAAAAAAAATCAGCAGAGAAATTGTGAAAAAAGCAAGTATCAAATTTTAAGAAACATAACATATCCTTGATAATAACTTTAATGATTTAAACAATGTTACTTATTCTATGTCTTATGAACTTTTCAGGTTAATAAATATGTCACAGAAGCTCTTTTTCCATCCTAAATCCCTCTCTTTTTGAACTGAAATAAAATAACACGATATCTTCAATCAAAGAGAATATAAAACACCATTTTGTCTAGAGTTCTCTTTCTCCTGGGGTATTTATAACTCAACTGAAATGTTCTCTTCCCTTTTAGTTCCCAACAAAAATGATTCATGCCTGCTGTCAGACAAGAAATAAGACCAAACATTACTGCTATACCACACACACACACACACACACACACACATACACACACACATACACACACACACACCTGCACACTGCATAATATGTACCCATGTACCTATAGAAAGATGTGTTCCAGCTCATCTATTTATCTCTATATCAATCTATCACCTATCATATGTTTCTACTATTGGACCAACAAAACAGAGAAAGCATTCCAATTCTATTCTGTTCCTTTTAATGACTAGGATGGAGGGACCGCTCTTTCTTCGCACAGCAGGGAGTTGCTTTCAATACATACTTGTTACTTCATTAATAAAACCCTTAAAAGAGACACAGATTGTAGATTGTATCAATTTTCTCCCTTGAAGACAACAGCAATAATATGTACAACCGCCACCATGGTGGTTTTTTTTTTTTTTTGAGGAGTGTGCTCTCTTTCACCATCCACCATTAGGATGAAGCAGGCCCTAGCATTGTGGCAGGGTAGAAACTGCATGCTTCTAGCAGTAAAGCAATAAGAGCTGAATTTCCTGGCGGCTAATACATGCATTGAACCAACTAGAGCTGTGCAATAAATATTCTTTCTTCACATCTAATTGTTCACCAAGTTTGGCTAACTTTCCTTATGAATATATATATATATATATATATATATATATATCGAATCATCCTCTTCTATTCTGTGCCTAAATTTAGATGCTCTAACACCTTACTAATAGTTTTTTATGGTGACCTTACAACAGTGTTTTCTGCCTCTAAATTAATACTTCGATATTTTTTTGTTCATATTGTTGCCCGAATAAAATATATCTATGGAGTGTGAGGGCAGATAGTGCAGCATCTAGAGCTCACTTGTCTTGTGCACGGGCAACCCAAGTTTAATCACTGGTACTTCATATGGATCCCCAGCCATGCAGGGAGGAAGCTTCAAGAACCACCGGATGTGGTTCAAGAACCAAATAATAAGGAGATGTTAAGATAGATAAGTAGACAGACAAGTGACATAAAGTACAAACCAGTCATAAAAAATAACTGAAAGGAAAAAAGAAAGATGGCGGCCGCACGGGAGCCTTGTGGAAAGCGGGTTTGAGCCGGGCTCGGGGAAGCGGCGGGGACCTCATGGGAAGGGGGGCTTTGTGGGCCGTCCCCCACGCCCCACCGAGGTCGCCAGCTGCCCCCCACGAGCGGCTCTCCGGCACGGCCACGGCCCCGGAGGCACAAGGACTTAGCACAGAGAACCAGCCGCTTGGAGCAGAAAAGCAAATGGACTTGTGTTGATCCGCGCCACCAAGCCTGCCCGGAGGGGGAAGGGCGTTGACCAGCCCGCCCGCTCCTCTCTGGAAAGAAAGATGGCGGCCGCACAGGAGCCTTGTGGAAAGCGGGTTTGAGCCGGGCTCGGGGAAGCGGCGGGGACCTCATGGGAAGGGGGGCTTTGTGGGCCGTCCCCCACGCCCCACCGAGGTCGCCAGCTGCCCCCCACGAGCGGCTCTCCGGCACGGCCACGGCCCCGGAGGCACAAGGACTTAGCACAGAGAACCAGCCGCTTGGAGCAGAAAAGCAAATGGACTTGTGTTGATCCGCGCCACCAAGCCTGCCCGGAGGGGGAAGGGCATTGACCAGCCCGCCCGCTCCTCTCTGGAAAGAAAGATGGCGGCCGCACGGGAGCCTTGTGGAAAGCGGGTTTGAGCCGGGCTCGGGGAAGCGGCGGGGACCTCATGGGAAGGGGGGCTTTGTGGGCCGTCCCCCACGCCCCACCGAGGTCGCCAGCTGCCCCCCACGAGCGGCTCTCCGGCACGACCACGGCCCCGGAGGCACAAGGACTCAGCACAGAGAACCAGCCGCTTGGAGCAGAAAAGCAAATGGACTTGTGTTGATCCGCGCCACCAAGCCTGCCCGGAGGGGGAAGGGCGTTGACCGGCCCGCCCGCTCCTCTCTGGAAAGAAAGATGGCGGCCGCACGGGAGCCTTGTGGAAAGCGGGTTTGAGCCGGGCTCGGGGAAGCGGCGGGGACCTCATGGGAAGGGGGGCTTTGTGGGCCGTCCCCCACGCCCCACCGAGGTCGCCAGCTGCCCCCCACGAGCGGCTCTCCGGCACGGCCACGGCCCCGGAGGCACAAGGACTCAGCACAGAGAACCAGCCGCTTGGAGCAGAAAAGCAAATGGACTTGTGTTGATCCGCGCCACCAAGCCTGCCCGGAGGGGGAAGGGCGTTGACCAGCCCGCCTGCTCCTCTCTGGAAAGAAAGATGGCGGCCGCACGGGAGCCTTGTGGAAAGCGGGTTTGAGCCGGGCTCGGGGAAGCGGCGGGGACCTCATGGGAAGGGGGGCTTTGTGGGCCGTCCCCCACGCCCCACCGAGGTCGCCAGCTGCCCCCCACGAGCGGCTCTCCGGCACGGCCACGGCCCCGGAGGCACAAGGACTCAGCACAGAGAACCAGCCGCTTGGAGCAGAAAAGCAAATGGACTTGTGTTGATCCGCGCCACCAAGCCTGCCCGGAGGGGGAAGGGCGTTGACCAGCCCGCCCGCTCCTCTCTGGAAAGAAAGATGGCGGCCGCACGGGAGCCTTGTGGAAAGCGGGTTTGAGCCGGGCTCGGGGAAGCGGCGGGGACCTCATGGGAAGGGGGGCTTTGTGGGCCGTCCCCCACGCCCCACCGAGGTCGCCAGCTGCCCCCCACGAGCGGCTCTCCGGCACGGCCACGGCCCCGGAGGCACAAGGACTCAGCACAGAGAACCAGCCGCTTGGAGCAGAAAAGCAAATGGACTTGTGTTGATCCGCGCCACCAAGCCTGCCCGGAGGGGGAAGGGCGTTGACCAGCCCGCCTGCTCCTCTCTGGAAAGAAAGATGGCGGCCGCACGGGAGCCTTGTGGAAAGCGGGTTTGAGCCGGGCTCGGGGAAGCGGCGGGGACCTCATGGGAAGGGGGGCTTTGTGGGCCGTCCCCCACGCCCCACCGAGGTCACCAGCTGCCCCCCACGAGCGGCTCTCCGGCACGGCCACGGCCCCGGAGGCACAAGGACTCAGCACAGAGAACCAGCCGCTTGGAGCAGAAAAGCAAATGGACTTGTGTTGATCCGCGCCACCAAGCCTGCCCGGAGGGGGAAGGGCGTTGACCAGCCCGCCCGCTCCTCTCTGGAAAGAAAGATGGCGGCCGCACGGGAGCCTTGTGGAAAGCGGGTTTGAGCCGGGCTCGGGGAAGCGGCGGGGACCTCATGGGAAGGGGGGCTTTGTGGGCCGTCCCCCACGCCCCACCGAGGTCGCCAGCTGCCCCCCACGAGCGGCTCTCCGGCACGGCCACGGCCCCGGAGGCACAAGGACTTAGCACAGAGAACCAGCGGCTTGGAGCAGAAAAGCAAATGGACTTGTGTTGATCAGCGCCACCAAGCCTGCCCGGAGGGGGAAGGGCATTGACCGGCCCGCCCGCTCCTCTCTGGAAAGAAAGATGGCGGCCGCACGGGAGCCTTGTGGAAAGCGGGTTTGAGCCGGGCTCGGGGAAGCGGCGGGGACCTCATGGGAAGGGGGGCTTTGTGGGCCGTCCCCCACGCCCCACCGAGGTCGCCAGCTGCCCCCCACGAGCGGCTCTCCGGCACGGCCACGGCCCCGGAGGCACAAGGACTCAGCACAGAGAACCAGCCGCTTGGAGCAGAAAAGCAAATGGACTTGTGTTGATCCGCGCCACCAAGCCTGCCCGGAGGGGGAAGGGTGTTGACCGGCCCGCCCGCTCCTCTCTGGAAAGAAAAATGGCGGCCGCACGGGAGCCTTGTGGAAAGCGGGTTTGAGCCGGGCTCGGGGAAGCGGCGGGGACCTCATGGGAAGGGGGGCTTTGTGGGCCGTCCCCCACGCCCCACCGAGGTCGCCAGCTGCCCCCCACGAGCGGCTCTCCGGCACGGCCACGACTCCAGGGCACAGAAATCAATCTCTTAACTAGCTAACTTTTAATAGAAATTCTTCCAGGGTCAATAAGTAAAATAGCAGAAATTCAAAACCGCGCGGCCGCGATAGCGGCCGCGCAACATCATTTTATTCTTAAACCAAGTTGTAGAAAGCAAATCATTTCACAACGCTGTTTCAGCATGTCTGATTGGGGGGGGGTGGGTCGTAAACTCTAAACAATAATTGTGCATCTTCTATCGAAATAATCTATCTAGTCAAAGTAGATAGAGTATTAACTAGAACTCATCTGCCTCATAAGAATTGGGAGGGGTGGGAGGTGGGGGTCTATTGGGGTTCGGCGTTAAAAATGAGTATTGGTAAAGGGAAATGTGTTCGGTATCTACATGACTGAGACCTAAACCCGAAAGCTCTGTAACTTTTCCCACAGTGATTCAATAAATAAATAAATTATAAAAAAAAAAATAAATAAAAAAAAAAAATAACTGAAAGGGTAAATTTGCTAACGCACCCATCAGTCAATATGCACTGTCTGCACTGTAGCACTGTCCTCCCGTTGTTCATCGATTTGTTCAAGAGGGCCCAGTAACGTCTCCATTGTGAGACTTGGTACTACTGTGTTTGGCATATCGAATAGGTCTCAGGTAGGTTGCCAGGCTTTGCTGCGGAGGCGAGATACTCTCGGTAGCTTGCTGGGCTCTCCAAAAGGGGCGGAGAATCGAACCCCAGTTGGCCAGGTTGGCCGCATGCAAGGCAAACGCCCTACCGGCTGTGCTAATGCTCCAGCCCGAGTTAATATAGTTTTAAAAAAATATAGAGTAGATAACCAGGGGAAAATAGTAGAACTATTTAAAATGAGACATTTATTGGGTGAAAGAGATAGCATAGTAGGCAAGATCCCTTGTACAGATGACCTTAGGTGAGATCCTCTGTATCCACATATGGTCTTCCAAGATCTGCCAAGAGTGACCCCGTGTGTGCAGTGCAAGGAGTACGCCCTGAGCACAGCTGCATGTGGTCCCACTTCTGACCCCAACAAAAAAAACAATGATTCAATGGGGTAAGTCAGAATAAGACAATCTTTGTGTTCAGGTTACATTTTAATTCAGCCATTGTTTCCCTGCATGTCATTTGTCGCTCTCTATATAACACTGTCTCTGAAATATTTCATAAAACTCAACACAAGCTGGGATTGCTGAGAATGAGCAAATTTCATGAGAAATAAATGTTTTCCAAGCACTCAGAACACTTCCTGACGCAAGTTTCTCTGACTAACATTCACTTAGGTAAATCATTCTCTGGCTGGAAATGCTCTGTGATGAGTAATCACATTCTCTCAGCTTTTACTCTGAATGGTTCATTAGCCTGTTCACATGTGCTGATCTTGTTTATTTACCAACTTGAAAAATTCTATACATATCCATAACCCACACTTTTTGACTGAGTTGACTGTCTTGTAATTGAAGAAGCTTTTTCTTTTTCTGAAAGAAATTCCTGCTAACTCATGAATCCAGTTCAGAGATGGGTCCAGATTTCACAAGATTTTGATTCTTAGAACCTTAGAACAATACTTTGTCTACCAGGTCCAAAATCTAACTTATAGACCAGATCACTTAAGAATATTTTAAAATCACAAATGATAATAATCATAGTTCTTCTGTAATATTTTGAAAATAGAACATAAGTGAAATAAAATAGCTGCTTCAGAGTCAATGAAGACAAAAGTATAGTGTTCTTAGAAATAAAATAATACTGCATTAAATCCTGCAAGCTAAAATAATTAGTATTTGAATTAGAAAAACCATATACTTATCGGTGCTTAGTCCAGTTACTGTAATTTTGTTTTAGAACAATCTGACCAGAACATACTCCTTTATTTTTTCTTTCTTTTTATTTGGTGGGGGCAGGGGAAAGAGGGGACATGCCTGGCAATAATCAGGGCTTGTTCCTAGATGTGCACAGGGGTCATTCCTGGTGAGTTCATGGGACTATATGAGGTGCCGAGGATCGAACCTGTGTTGGTCACATGAAAGGCAAGTGTCCTACCAGCACTATCATTCTGACCCTAAGATGGGATATATCCCTTTCTGCTGTCACAATCTTTATATTCCACTGTCTAAAAATAATGTAACTAGTATTTGGCCTTCTATATGAGGTGTTTAACATTTAAGTTTTATCCACTTGCTTTTAATATTTCATAATGATGTCTGTCTAATACGGATAACAATGAAAAGACCAAGATACCATTAGAAATGGGTCAGGAAGCAAAAGGGCAGAGACCAATAAAGCATCTCCAACAAACCTTCTCTGTGTACATTTGTCTTTATTAAATATCACATCTACTATCTACTCCCATGCATGAGATGCCTTCTGAGGCATTTCTCCACAACAGGGAATAAAACCACCTAGAACCATTACACATGAAAATTACTTCAAATATTTTTACTTTGAAAGATAACTATAATCACCTTACAGAATATTAAATAGTAAAAATAAGTATCAGTAAACTCTCCTAATATTGATATCAGGATTGCTAGTTTTAAATTGTTCATGAACTCATAAAAGAGGAAAATTCAATTTATATAGAAATTATAACACAAAAAACCAATGTAGGTTATTTTCCTTTGATATAAATTATAAGAAGAAAGAATATCATTACAACAGTTCCATATATCAAATAAAAGGGTTATTAAAAGTTAATAATACAAATTTTAAGTGATATGGAATAATATATAGGCTTCTGTGGGGGTAGATTTCTTGTACTATCTTTCAAGATTCTATTAGAATGAGCTTCTCCTTCAGTATTCAAATGGGAATTTCTTTCTTATAATGAACAAAGATAATCTATATTCCCTTCTTAAAAGAAAACTTCTGTAGAGTTGATCTTTATATCCATTTTTCTCTGTTCTCTTTCAAAGAAAAGTTTTCAGAATGTCCCTTCTCTGGGATATCAGCTATAAATGTCTCACAAAACCAGGCCAGAGTCAGTGCTTGTGATAGCCACGCCAGTGAACTGAAACACCAACTTTGGAGCTTTCAGAACAGATATGTTAGGGACTGGAGTGTTAGTATAGCAGGTAGGACACTTACTTCACATGTGGCTATCCTGGGCTTGATACCTGTCATCCCATATGGTCCCCTAAACCCACCAGGAGTAATCCCTGAGCATAGAGCCAGGAGTAAACCTTCCAGATGTGGCCCCCAAATAAAACAAAACAAAAACAAAAAGCAAAAAAAATTAGGTATGTTAAGAGTTTTATTGAGTAATGTTTGTATCTGTGCTACAATTGACCCTCAAGGAACATAATGTGTATATGTTTGTGTGTGTGTGTGTGTGTGTGTGTTATTTGGTTTTGTTTTACCAAGCAAACCTCATTATCTCAGAAAAATCTATAGGTATAGTCATAGAAACGCAAACATTCAAGTGTTTAGGAGAATAACCAAGACAATCCCTTGTTACCTAAACCACAAATAGTGCTAATTCATAGGATAAGCAAAACACAGTTGTTTAAATTAGAAAAATGCTGGGGGGTCGACTCTTATTTTTGCTTCAGTTTATCTTTGATTCAAACCCTCCTCTCCCCTTTATCCTTCTCTCTCTTCTCCCTCCCTCCTCCCCTCTTTCTCCTTTGCCTACTTACCATTCTAGCTTACTTGTTTAATCCAAGGCCTCAGTCACACAAGGCAAGTGCTCTTTTGCTGAGCTGGATCCCTTATCTTTCTCCCTCTCTCCATCTTTCTCTCCCTCGTTCGTGTTTCTCTAGATTATCATGTTTTAAAACTTACTGACCATTAAAATAGGTACTAGGTGTTTGGTAGCCAATGGTCTCAGTCAGTCAGTGCAGTCCACTTACCCTATTCTGGTCCTGTGATGCCATCTCTCTGTCCCCTTGAGAGTTGCTCCGTCTAAGCCACCTAGTTCCTGGAGCCTTCACATGTCCAGTAGCTTTCACACAAACTACAATCTTGACCCTGCTAGTGCTCCCCAGTCCCTGGTCTGGACTCACTTGTGTATGCTTTGGTTGTTGCTTAACTGTTTTCTGTCAATTCTCTTGACTAATCACGTTGTAGTGTTGACCCCTGGCTGTCAGCAGTGTGTGAACTTTAGAGGAAAAGGCCAGGCTTTCTTTTATTCATATTTGCTTGGCAGACATTTTCCACCCTCTCATTGTCAGTCTTTCTAAGTATTTTGTGTGTTTGGTTTGTCTCTTCCAGACAACATACATCTTCATTCAATTTGGGAGTCTTGGTTCTCTAATTAGTCAGTTTATTCTGAATTTTAATTGGTGTAATTTAGTATAAAATTAGATCTTGTTTCTACCATCTTAATTCTCCTTTTCAATTTAAATGTAAATTGTAATTACAGTTAAATTAAGACTTATTTCTGCTATCTTGTATTTTTCATTTATTCTCTATACCTTTGTCCATCTTTCAATAGAAGGGGATTTTCTCTTAGATTAGATATTAGATAATCATTTTTATTATTTTGATTATTGCCTTTTTTATTAAAATTCACACTTTTATACTCATTATTGTATTAAAATTGCATTTTTTACTATTACAATACAATCTGTATTATTTCTAATATTGCCTTTGTATTGCCTCCCACTAATATTATAACTTAGAATGTAAGTTTTGAATTGCTGCAAGTTTCTGATTTACTTTTCATTTTTCCTACCCTTATTTTTATTTAGCTACACAAAAATAAGTCTTAGCACCATGCCATTTATCCTTATTTTGAGTTATCTCTTAGTATCTTAGTTAAATTCCTCAAAGACATCTAAAATAGGGACCAATTTATAGCAAAATTTCTAATGCCATTATGTATATATGCCATCATGTCCTCGCTGGGGCCCCTTGGAAGGGAGCAGGTTGAGTTTCCCTTCCCACCCCGACCAGGGCTCCGGCAGCCAAAGACCTCCAGAACCAGCCACCACCATGCTGAGACCACTCTCCACATGCGTGAAGGTACCGGCAGAGAAACAAAGGCATGTGGATCCCAGGGCTGAGATCTCCAAGCCTGCTCGGATCGGGGCTGAGCATCCTCCACCCAGATCCTCCAAATTCCAGTAGGCAGGGGTCACACCCACCAACTGGCCCCCTGGCGCTGTGTAATCCCAGTTACGGCCAAGACCCAGAGACTATAAAACCCAGCTCCCGGAAGTGCGCTGCCGCATCTCATTCCTACTTTGGACAAACTGGCAGGGTACCGAATGTAACTTGCCCACATGGCAGAGTCTGGTAAACTCCCCGTGGTGTACCCAATATGCCAAATACCAGTAACAATGATGAGCCTCATTCTCCTAATCCTGAAAGGGCCTTGAATATGACAACTTTTTTTTTTATTAGTGAAACACCATGAGGTACAGTTGTAGATTTACAAATTTTTGTGCTTGGATCTCGGTCATACCACGATCAAATACCCATCCCTCCACCAGTGCCCATTTTCCACCACCAGGATAATATCCCTCCCCCCCCATCCTCCCATCCCCCCATCCCCCCTGCCACTGTGGCAGGGCATTCCCCCCTGTTCTCTCTCTCCTCCTGGGCGCTGTGATCAGTCAAAGAGGCATTGAGTGGCGAACATGTTCAGTCCAGTCTACTTTCAACCTGCATCTCCCCTCCTGGGAGGATCCTCCAAACACCCTCCACTTGGTGTTCCCCTTTCTATCTGAATTGTCCTTTCCCCTAGAATACCCAGCTGGCCTCTAAGTTATGGAGTAATTCTCCTGGTGTTGCTCTCAGCTATTCTTGGGTATTAATCTCATATTTTATTATTTTATATCCCCCAGATGAATGCTATCTTTCTATGTCTATCCCTCTCTGACTCATTTCACTTAGCATGATACTTTCCATATTGTACCACTTGTATGTAAAGTTCATGACTTCATCTTTTCTAAGAGCCACATAGTACTCCATTGTGTAGATGTACCAAAGTTTCTTTAACCAGTCATCTGTTCTTGGGCACTCAGGTCTCTTCCAGTTTCTGGCTACTGTAAAGAGTGCTGCAATGAACAAACAAGTGCAGATGTCACTTCGGCTACACGTTTTTGCCTCTCTGGGATATATTCCCAGGAGTGGTATCGCTGGGTCAAATGGGAGCTCAATTTCTAATTTTTTGAGGAACGTCCATACTGTTTTCCAGAAGGGCTGAACCAGTGGACATTCGCACCAACAGTGAAGGAGTGTGTCCCTTTCTCGCCACATCCGCGCCAGCAACGGTTGCTTTTGTTCTTTTGAATGTGGGCCAGTCTCTGAGGTGTGAGATGGTATCTCATTGTGGTTTTGATCTGCATCTCCCTGATGATTAATGATGTAGAGCATTTTCTCATGTGCTTTTTTGCCATTCGGATTTCTTCTTTGAGAAAGTTTCTGTTCATTTCATTGCCCCATTTTTTGATGGGGTTGGATGTTTTCTTCTTGTGGAGTTCAACCAGTATTTTGTATATCCTTGATATCAACCCCTTGTCAGATGTGTATTCGGCGAATATTCTTTCCCATTCTGTAGGCTGTCTTTGTATTTTGGTCACTGTTTCTTTGGAGGTACAGAAGCTTCTTAGTTTAAGATAGTCCCATTTATCTATCTCTGTTTTCACTTGCTCAGCCAGTGGCGTGTCATCTTTGAACATACCATTAGCCTCAATGTCATGGAGGGTTTTGCCAACTTTGTCTTCAATGTATCTTATGGTTTCTGGTCTGATGTTGAGGTCTTTAATCCATTTTGATCTTACCTTTGTACATGGTGTTAGGCAGAGTTCTGAGCCCATTTTTTTGCATGTAGCCGTCCAGTGATGCCAGCACAATTTGTTAAAGAGGCTTTCCTTACTCCACTTCACATTTCTTGCACCTTTATCAAAGATTAGATGATCATATGATTGGGGGGTGATGTCAGTGTATTCAACTCTGTTCCATTGGTCTGCAGTTCTGTCTTTGTTCCAGTACCATGCTGTTTTAATTATTACTGCTTTGTAGTACAGTTTGAAGTTCGGGAGGTTGATTCCTCCCATTTTCTTTTTCCCAAGAATTGCTTTAGCTATTCATGGGGGTTTATTGTTCCATATAAATTTCAGGAGTGTTTTCTCCATTTCTTTGAAGAATGTCATGGGTATCCTTATAGGAATTGCATTGAATTTGTACAGTGCTTTTGGTAGTATTGCCATTTTGACAATGTTAAGTCTTCCGACCCATGAGCAGGGGATATCTTTCCATTTCCTCATGTCCTCTTTTATTTCCTGAAGTAGCGTTTTGTAGTTTTCTTTGTACAGGTCCTTTACTTCCTTAGTTAAGCTGATTCCTAGGTACTTGATTTTCTGGGGCGCAATTGTGAACGGGATTGATTTTTTCATATAGCTTTCCTCTCTCTCTCACTGTTTGCGTATAGGAAAGCCATGGACTTTTGGGTATTGATTTTATAACCTGCAACTTTACTATACAAGTCTATTGTTTCTAGGAGTTTTTTGGTGGAGGTTATTGGGTTCTCTAAGTATAGTATCATATCATCTGCGAATAGTGAGAGCTTTATTTCTTCCTTTCCTACCTGAATGCCCTTAATGTCTTTTTCTTGCCTAATTGCTATTGCAAGTACTTCCAGTACTATATTGAACAGCAGTGGAGAGAGTGGGCATCCTTGTCTCGTCCCTGATCTTAGAGGGAAGGCTCTCAGTTTTTCCCCATTGAGGATGATGCTTGCTGTAGGCTTGTGGTAGATGGCTTTAACTATGTTGAGGAAAGTCCCCTCTATGCCCATTTTGGCTAGGGTTTTCATCATAAAGGGGTGCTGGATCTTGTCAAATGCTTTCTCTGCATCTATTGATATGATCATATGCTTTTTATCTTTTCTTTTGTTGATATGATGGATTATGTTGATTGACTTCCGAATGTTGAACCATCCTTGCATCCCTGGGATGAATCCTACTTGGTCATGGTGTATGATCTTTTTGATGAGTAGTTGGATTCTATTTGCTAGTAGTTTGTTGAGGATCTTTGCATCTGTGTTCATCAGGGATATCGGCCTGTAATTCTCTTTCTTTGTGGTATCTCTGTTTGCTTTTGGTATCAGTGTGGTATTTGCTTCATAGAAACTGTTCGGAAGTGTATTTGATATTTCAATTTCATGGAAAAGCTTAAAGAGGATTGGGAGTAAGTCTTCTTTAAAGATTTGGAAGAATTCACTGGTGAATACATCCGGGCCAGGGCTTTTGTGCTTGGGGAGACTTTTTATTACCATTTCAATTTCCTTGATGGTGATAGGTCTGTTCAGGTATTCCAGGTCTTCTTGGTTCAGCCTTGGGAGTCTGTAGGAGTCTAGGAATTTATCCATTTCCTCGAGGTTTTGATGTTCTGTGGCATAAAGCTTTTCAAAGTACTCCCTGAGGATCCTTTGAATTTCTGTAGTTTCTGTTGTAATGAACCCCTTTTCATTTCTGATTCGGTTTATTAGGGTTTTCTCTCTCCCTTTCTTTGTGAGTTTTGCTAGGGGCTTATTGATTTTGTTAATTTTCTCAAAGAACCAGCTCTTGGTTTCATTGATCTTTCGGATTGTTTTCTGGGTTTCCATCTCGTTAATCTCTGCTCTGAGTTTTATTATTTCCTTCCTCCTGTTAGGGTTGTGCTCCTTTTGTTGGTCCTTCTCCAAGTTCTTAAGCTGTGAGGTTAGTTTATTTATGTGGGCTCGCTCCTCCTTCCTGAGGAATGCTTGTAGAGCTATAAACTTTCCTCTTAAGACTGCTTTTGCTGTGTCCCATAAGTTTTGGTAACTCGTGTCCTCATTTTCATTCGTTCCTAGGAATCTTTTGATTTCCTCTTTAATTTCCTGTCTAAGCCACTCGTTGTTTAATAGCGCACTGTTTAATTTCCATGTGTTTAATTTAGTTTTCTGTTTTTGTGTGTGATTTACTTCTAATTTCAGCGCATTATGGTCTGAGAAGATTGTTGATATAATCTCTATCTTCTTAATTTTATGGAGGCATGCTTTGTGGCTCAGCATGT